AATCAATCAAGAACCATAATGACTGATAAATAAAGCCATCAAGAACTTACTGTGTAATGACTAATAAATAAAGCCATCAAGAACTTACTGTGTAATGACTAATGATTAAAGCCATCAAGAACCATAATGACTAATGATTAAAGCCATCAAGAACTTACTGTGTAATGACTAATGATTAAAGCCATCAAGAACTTATTGTGTAATGACTAATGATTAAAATCTATCAAGAACCATAATGACTAATAAATAAAGTCATCAAGAACTTACTGTGTAATGACTAATGATTAAAGCCATCAAGAACTTACTGTGTAATGACTAATGATTAAAGCCATCAAGAACTTATTGTGTAATGACTAATGATTAAAATCTATCAAGAACCATAATGACTAATAATTAAAGCCATCAAGAACTTACTATGTAATGACTAATGATTAAAAATCATCAAGAACTTATTGTGTAATGACTTATGATTAAAATCCATCAAGAACCATAATGACTAATAATTAAAGCCATCAAGAACTTACTGTGTAATGACTAATGATTAAAAATCATCAAGAACTTATTGTGTAATGACTGATGATTAAAATCCATCAAGAATCATAATAACTAATAAATAAAAGCCACCAAACACTGGAGCTGGGCGATTAACTTGATTGCTTATGAGCATCCATTACATCGTTTAATGTCATGTAAAGTAATGAATTCATCAGAATTATAATTGAAAGTGATTAACCTATATAAGCTGTGGTAGAGTGTACGTCATGATGTTTTACAGTTACATTTAAGATTTAACTAAACTATTATCAATGCATGTCAATAAGCTTGGCATCAAAATGTACTTTATATTTCAAGTTTTTGTATTATCTAAGTTTTAGTTTTTAAATTTCAAAAGAAATATTTAAAAACATTTTCTGTCTTCACTTGTCTGTGTCACATTACACATTCTCATCTTCATATTTCAAACAGTTCAAACTATAAACTACTTGAGTACAAACAAAAATAGAAAATTTTAACCTCCTGCCTTCTTGATTTGCTGAGATATTAATAAATTTCTGAAACTCTACTAGAGAAGCCCCTTCTGTCTGTTTCTTTTATATAATCACCTATTTATGGCTAATGGGCACATTTAACGATACATATATCATATGACTTCTTAGTTTTCTAGTAAGAAAGCCATAGTTAATGGAATTTGTAGCTTTTGATATGCCTAATCTAGTGATTCAAACATTAAGGTATTTTTTAACCTATTTACAGGTAGATTATAATCAAACATTAAGGTATTTTTTAACCTATTTACAGGTAGATTATAATCAAACATTAAGGTATTTGTTAACGTATTTGCAGGTAGATTATAATAGTTTGAGTCATTCTCTTCTAGTGATTGATATATTTTTTCTATTATAAAATGTGTATTTGAAAGCTACATTAATTTTTTATGGACAACCAAGTTAGTGAAAATAGTGAGGCCTAGCACAGTATTGCCTGCAAGTGGATTACACAGGTCATTGTTTATGGTGTTTACAAGTAAATATCATTGGGCTCCCACTGTGATTTATTGCTATTCATGGAAGGATAAGCTACTTCCTTGAAACAAAGTTTGGTAATAAATACATAAGATTATAAACGAACAGATGCGAAAAAGTTAACAGTTGAAATTGTGAAGATAAAAAAATTGAAACTTTCAAGACACTTGTACATTCAGACAAGAAGAAAAAAGTGTTTTTTTTCATTTTATTTTGTATTTTTCAACTTTTCCTTTCGCTGCACATTGATGATTTTGCTGTAGTTAGTGTTGGGTAGAGAAAATAAAAGATAAAATGTTTCACTGGGAAATTATTTTTGTTCATGTAGGAGGTTCTAGAAGTTAGGCAAATGAAATAAGAAAATTATAATATGAACATCTTAGTATGAAAATCACTTTTCACTCAGACTGACTCAGTAAAGCCTTGGTAAATTCCCAGACAAATCTTTTGTAAAAATACTTTTCTAAAAATCTGTAAAAGCTTGTCAAATTTTGTGAAGATACATTTAATACATTCAGCATTATTGTTTGTATAATCCACATTTACGAGATGGCTATAAGATCAGTCTTGACTGAGTTGGTATACAAAGACCTTATGTCATTTATTGCTGTTTATAGTTATAGTAAACAAAAGTTACCAACAACCCTACTGTCTAATGAATAGTAAAAACCCACCAACAACCCCACTGTCTGATGAATATTAATTAACCAACCAACAACCCTGCTCTGTAATGACTAGTAAACAAAAGTTACCAACAACTCTACTGTCTAATGAATAGTAAAAACCCACCAACAACCATGATATCTAATGACTAGTAAACAAAAGTTACCAACAACCCCACTGTCTGATGAATAGTAAAAAACCCACCAACTACCCTACTATCTAATGGCTAATAAACAAAATCTGTGAAGAACCCTGCTATCAAATGGCTAATAAACAAAAGCCATGAAGAACCCTGCTATCTAATGACTAGTAAACAAAAGCCATGAAGAACCCTGCTATTTAATGGCTAATAAACAAAAGCCATGAAGAATCCTACTATGTAATGGCTAGTACACAAAAGGTATGAAGAACCCTGCTATTTAATGGCTAATAAACAAAAGGTATGAAGAACCCTGCTATTTAATGGCTAATAAACAAAAGCCATGAAGAATCCTACTATCTAATGGCTAGTACACAAAAGGTATGAAGAACCCTGCTATTTAATGGCTAATAAACAAAAGCCATGAAGAATCCTTCTATGTAATGGCTAGTAAACAAAAGGTATGAAGAACCCTGCTATCTAATGGCTAGTAAACAAAATCCATGAAGAACCTTGCTATCAAATGGCTAATAAACAAAAGCCATGAACAACCCTGCTATCTAATGGCTAATAAACAAAAGCCATGAAGAACCCTGCTATCTAATGGCTAGTAAACAAAAGCCATGAAGAACCCTGCTATCTAATGGCTAGTAAACAAAAGTCATGAAGAACCCTGATATCTAATGGCTAGTAAACAAAATCCGTGAAGAACCCTGCTATGTAATCACTAATAAACAAGAGCCATGAGGAACGACCCTGCTAGCTGATGAATAGTGAACAAAACCCACTAACAACCTTACTATCTAATGACTATTAAACAAAAGCCACAAAGAACCCTGCTATCTAATGAATAATAAACAAAAAACTTCAAGAATATTGCTATCTATTGACATTTAAACAAAAGCCACCAAGAACTCTGCTATTTAATGACTATTAATCTCTTCCATGACTTGCCTAGATAACTCGGGTGCCCTCCATGTTTCAGTAAGATATGTGACAGAGTGAACTTTGGCAAAACATTTCTTGCCCATTTTTTAATTATTTGCATTTTATCTTATATTACAAACAGTGCTCCTTAGATAGCATTAGAAATGCTGTTTGTGCTGGTCTCTATTGGATTTATTTTGAATTATGTATTGTAAACACAGGAGTAAATCAGCCCTATTCTTTATTATAGTTTCATTGACAATATATCACGTATAGATTGGGATGTGTAACATTTATTTATCAAGTCTATTTGTACATAAGTATAACAGCAGATAACAAACTAATTTTTGTTTCATTAATATATAAGTGTAAGCTATCAAAAAACAAAATAAAAAACCTGATCTTTTTGAACTCATTTCCCAAAAAAGCCTTACATGGAAGGGGTTAAACAAAAGTAACCAAGAACCTTGATATCTAGTGACAAGTTAAGAAAAGTAACCAAGAACCTTGTATCAAGTGACTAGTAAACAAATGTAACCAAGAACGTTATATCTGATGACTAGTAAACAAATATAACTAAGAACCTTGTAGCAAATGACTAGTAAACAAATGTAACCAAGAACCTTATATCTAATAACTAGTAAACAAAAGCCATGAAGAACCTCTGTTTAATGACTAGTAAACAAACAATATGAAGAACCCCTGCTATCTAATGACTAGTAAAGAAAAGTAACCAAGAACCTTGTAGCAAATGACTAGTAAACAAATATAACTAAGAACCTTTATCTAATGATTAGTAAACAAAAATAACCAAGAACCTTGATATCTAATCACCAGTAAACAAAAGTAACCAAGAACCTTATATCTAATAACTAGTAAACAAAAGCCATGAAGAACCTCTGTTTAATGACTAGTAAACAAACAATATGAAGAACCCCTGCTATCTAATGACTAGTAAACAAAAATCACCAAGAACCTTGATATCTAATAACTATTAAACGAAAGCCATGAAGAACCTCTGGTTAATGACTAGTAGACAAATGCTTTGAAGAACCATGCTATCTAAACTAGTAAATAAAAACCATGAAGAACCCTGTTAACTAACAGCTAATAAATGAAAGTCACTAGAACCATGATATGTAAGTAAGTAAATAAATTCCAATACAAAGTTAGCTTATTATCAGAGGCTTAATTGGAACATAAGGTTCACATCTATTGTATGAAATTTTAAAATTGTGTCAAAATTTCAGTAATAATCAATAGCCAGTAACGATCATTATTTTGGTAAGAGTTACTGAAAAAGTATATAATGTGCTGTCTCATAAGTTTAGACTTGTTGTTATGTGTTGAGAGCTAGTATCTGTTCTGTCTCATAAGGTTAGACTTGTTGTTATGTGTTGAGAGCTAGTATCTGTTCTGTCTCATGAGTTTAGACTTGTATTGTGTTGAGAGCTAGTATCTGTTCTGTCTCATAAGGTTAGACTTGTTGTTATGTGTTGAGAGCTAGTATCTGTTCCATCTCTTCAGTTTAGACTTGTTGTTATGTGTTGAGAGCTAGTATCTGTTCTGTCTCATAAGTATAGACTTGTTGTTATGTGTTGAGAGCTAGTATCTGTTCTGTCTCATAAGGTTAGACTTGTTGTTATGTGTTGAGAGCTAGTATTTGTTCTGTCTCATAAGTATAAACTTGTTATGTGTTGAGAGCTAGTATCTGTTCTGTCTCATAAGTATAGACTTGTTGTTATGTGTTGAGAGC